CCATCATATTTCTACACCATCATCTAGAATAACCAACCAATGCCTTAAACCGCACACACACAAAAATTGATAATAAATAACAATAAATCGTTTCCACACAACAGACCTATTCCCACAGTTATCATATTTCAACACACCTTCATGTCTATGTGAGCTATTTTGAGAAACACTTTGCTTTCCTAACCTTAACTATTCTCGAGTGAAGCACGTTGTTTTTTTACAAGATTACAAATATTTACCATTTAAATCCGGAAAATTTATGTCTCGGGTGACGGTTAAACAATTTCCCGCCATTTTTCTCTCTAGGTTTTTTCTTTTCGTTTTTTCTTTACATATGACAAACGCGCATCATTCTCAAGACGATATGTATTTGTATACACACACACACACACACACACACACACACACACACACACACACACACACACACACCACACACACACACACACACACACACACACAGACACACACACACACACACACACACATATATATATATAAATATATATATATAATTTATATATATATATATATAGAGAGAGAGAGGAGAGAGAGAGAGAGTGATTAAATTACTTCCCGCTTTTTTCTCTCTCACTATCTCTATTTTTCTTCTATTTTCTTACAAACACGCATCATTTTTCTTTCTCTCAAAAGATATATATATCTCGTCTGACAGCTAAATGATTTCCACCTCCCACCTCCCCCTCATTTTCTTTCTTTCTCTTTTTTCCTCAAAATTATTTCCCACCTCCTTTTCCTCCTGTTTCTCTCTCTTTCTTTCTTTTTTTCATCTTTTAAAACATCTGCGAAATGCGTTGCGTGTGCAAAGTCATTTCCTTTGTCGATCGTTAACTCCTGACGTGTCACGTGACGGAGGCAAAGGTGTCGGTAGGTTACGTCTAGTGACTTGCAACTTGTTGAAAGCGAGTCTCAATAAACTTTTAAAATTCACTTGAAAAGATTACTATAAAAGTGAAAAGAGGGAGACATAGTTGTTAGACTGGGACTTTTAAACTTTTATATGTTTTTTTTTTCTCTCTGTCTATCTGCTTCTCTACCTATCTATCTGTCTGTCTGCTTCTCTCTCTCTCTCTCTTTCCCACCCTCCCTCTTCCTCCCTCCTACCCTCTCTCTCTCTCCCTTCCTCCTCCCTTCTCTCTCTCTCTCTCTCTTCTCTCTATCTATCTATCTATCTATCTATCTATCTCTTTCTCTCTCTCTCTCTCTCTCTCTCTCTCTCTCTCTCTCTCTCTCTCTCTCTCTCTCTCTCTCTCTCTCTCTCTCTCTCTCTCTCTCTCTCTCTCTCTCACCCACCCTCCCTCTTCCTTCCTCCTCCCTCTCTCTCTCCCTCTCCTCCTCCCTCTCTCCTCCCTCCCACCCTCTCTCCCTCCCCTCCCTCCCCCCCTCTCTCCTTCTCTCTCTCTCTCTCTCTCCTTTTTTTTCTTAAATCCTAAATGGAAAGTCCTTCGCGGCCACTGACCGTGTTAATTCCATCGCCTTCCACGTTATTTCTGGAACGAGTAATTTTTGTTCTCTCGTGGGAACCGCTGGCCGCCACGTGCACCTTGTCAGTCAGCTGTTTAGGTTATGCTATATCAAGGTTGCATAGCGGATAATCGGCGTCAGGGTTTTTATTACGTGTTTGTGTTGTTTGTTGTTTTTTGTCGTTTTTGTTTGTGTATTTTTATTTTTTGTCGTTTTTTGTTTGTGTGTATTTTTATTTTTTTTGTCGTTTTTTTGTTGTGTTTTGTGTGATTTGTGTTTAGTTGGTATTGAAATATTAGGGTGGGGAGTTTGAGGGAGTGTGCCTGTGTGTGTGTGTGTGGTTGTTGGATGTGTGTGTGTGTGTGGTTGTTTGAGGATGTGTGTGTGTGTGTGGTTGTTTGAGGATGTGTGTGTGTGTGTGGTGTGTGTGTGTGGTTGTTTGAGGATGTGTGTGTGTGTGTGTGTGTGTGTGTGTGTGTGAGGAGGACGCATGTGGCTGTATGTGTGTGTGCGTATAGTTGTTTGAGGATATGTGTATGTATGTGTCCACATGTGTGCGTTTGTGCGTGCGTGTGATGACATATCTATCCCACCTTCCTTTTCGCATGTTTCTTCCCTCTCTGAACATTTATCAATTCTCACCGTTTCTCTCTCTTCCAAACCCCAGTGCGAACGTGTCCAGTCTCTAAACCGGTTACTTACTTATATATACACAAATCACGTGTCACAAAAAAGTGTTAAATATATCTGATGTTGAACCGTATTCATGTTGACAAATGTGGAAAGGTATGAATGAGAACGAATATCTTCACAATACAAGAGATGTATTTGACCGGTTTCGATTATATCTTCGTCATGTATTTCTGACGAAGATATAATCGAAACCGGTTAAATACATCTCTTGTATTGTGAAGATATTCGTTCTCATTCATACCTTTCCACAATATCTGATGTTACAGCATTTCTCGACTTCTATCCTCAACATGTATACCAAGTCACAGCCACCATTGAATGT